CAGTTGACTTTTTGAAAGTGAAAATAATTTATCGCTTCTGTGATCATTGAATACTAAGTAATATGATTAAGAGGTCATAAGACATGTTTCCCAACCCTTGAAATTTGAGAAGTAAGATCCAAATATAAAAATAATCTTAAAAGAGTTAAGGCATAGTTACAACCCCAGCAGCAAAGGTTTCTTTGGATATCAATGCTTATAGCCAAGAGAACAAACATGTTATGGTTTGAACCGGAAATGTCCCCCACGGGCTTATATTTTAAACGATCTCTAGTTAGCAGCACTATTTTTAAGGCTGTGGAACCTTTAGGAAGCTGGACCTGGCTGGAAGAGATAGGGACTGCTGTCATTTTTTTCTGAATCTGCCATCGTGTAAGAGTCTTCACTACCCTTTCCTGCTGTGAAAACCCCACCATGCCTTCCCCGCCGGGAGGACCCTGTCCTCTGACACAGTCGGCCCAAATGAACCCTCCCTTAAGTTGTTCCAGTCAGGTATTTGGGTCATGACGATGATCAAAGCAACTGATACAGTGCTCAAGGAACAGTGTGGGCGTGGGACAGCTGAGGGGCTCAGAGGCGTTGAGAACCATGTTGTGCAGAGAACAGGCAGGTACTGAGCACAGGGGAATAACTTGGAGCCATAATGAGGAGAGAGGAGATGCCAAATGCATGCCTAATGATTCTATCTCATAAGGGGTGATTGAAATGGGCTAAAGGTGGCACAGAGCCCTTCATCCCTCCAGACGTGGATAGCCACTAGACTCTTGGGCAGTAAGTAGCCTATGGAATCCAAACTGTTACCAGCCTTGCTCTCATTCAGCCTGTCACCTCCCATCTGGGACACTGGGACACCACAGTAGTTCAGAGTTGCTAGATCTTTTACTCAAAGTGAATTTTAGGACATTTGGGATATAATAATCAATAGTACTAGGACGGACCATTCCTCCAAGGTAAAGCTGTAAATTCCTCTCCTAGAACTCCCACCACTGCTGTCTTCCTCTCTCTCCTATTCAGGCTTGGTGTGGACTCATATCAATAAGGTTTATTAGATAACATGTGTAGATTGGACCAGTCTTTTCATCTCAGGGGCTTGTAACCTCATTGACAGAGACAAGCAGTGCACTAGAGAATGATGTGAAAACAAAATGATTTCAGATTATCCAGTGGTGAGTATTTGGAGATTGAGAGCAAGTGTTGAAGCATGAGGAAATCCTGCAGCCAGAGCACCTTCCCAGAGACCTCAGCAATGAGGCAACCATGGCACTTAGAGCCTGGAGACCAACACTTCACACAGTGGATAAACAAGGTTTCATTGATCAAGGTGTCAGCAGTGCAATAGAGGCGGCACAGTGGGTGAGTCTGTGACTAGTTTGGAGTCAGAGTAAAGAAGTGGAGAGGGATCCAGTGTGTCACTCTATACAGTTCTCTGTGAGCAGCCCGTGATTTTCTTCTTGGACTGATGAGAAGCCACTGGTGCATTTTATGAGGTGAAATGGCAAAATCTGACCTGTGACTTTAAAAGAGTGTTATGATATGCAGGGTGTTGCTAAGAGCACCATGCACAAGAGAAAAAGTTGAGAAACTGGGCAGCTCTCCAGCAGCAAGAACAAGACAAGCATTTTGTTATCTGTGCAGCTCTGACAAATAACACATCTGCATTCCACTGTGGTAACCTGTGCGGAGCCCTTACTCTCTGTGCGTAAAAGCATGGGGACATCAAAAGAGGGACTTGGGAAAAAGTGAGTTCTTTAACTACTAGTTTCAGGTGATTCCCTATTGGTCCACCAGGCAGCCGGCATTGGCCATCAGCTGGGCATTAGACCCTGTCTGTCACACTCAACATTTCCAAAGCAGGGCAAGAAAATCAACAGAGAATGCAAGTCTTCTTTTATATAAAGGGAGTTGGGGTTAGTCTATTGTTTAGTGATAAGAATTGCATTGCTTAATTCTAACTGGAAAAGGGAATTGGGTGTGGGGTGAGACATCCTACACACACACTCTACTCATGGCAAAACAGGGCAAGGGAAAGCCCAGCTTCTCTTCCATTTGGATCTCTTTCAACAGAACCAGCCATGTGTCTTCTCCTCTCTGCCTGCTGCCTCCTTTCTGTATTCTAGTGAGAAGCCTTGAGAGAATGACTCTAACCATCTTATTTCATCATTTCATCATCTCCATACTGCATGCATGGAGGCTTGCTAAGTTCTGTGATCAGTTTCCTGGTGCTACCAGGAATCATCTCTGATATGCAGCCAATCCATAAACTTACAGATGGTACTGGCCCTAATTTGTTGAAAACTGAGAAAGATTTATCACGTGCAAAGGAGGTTCATGAACAAACTAACTCACCTCACTGCTGTATAATGCAACACAAGTGTTTTATACTCTCACTTCTGCTAGCTCTCACTGTTTCCTTCTTCTAAAGACCTGATTTCACAAAAAAAAAAAAACAAGAAATACAGTGAGAGATAAACAACACCAAAGACCTTTGAAAAAGCCATATGGAAACCTACAGCTGCAGGAACTTCTTGAAATAGACACACAACTTACAAAAGGAATCTAAAGGGAGTTGCCTTGTACAGGGAAGTAATGCCTCTCCAGGTGCCATGGACTATGAAGCACAAGACCCAGTGCTAAGTGTGGGTTACTTCCATTCAAGCTATGGGTACGTGGGGGTGCTGTAAACTCACAAAATGATGCAAACTATTGTCATTACTGATTTGATGCTAAGATCTTGCTTTGGAGACACCATATACTTGAGTCATACAAGGCCCAGAGAAATCAAGATGGTGCTAACCTGGAGCCCTCCTCCCTTCTGGCTAGTTTTCATAGTGTCAGAGGTGCTGTGTTAGGAGAGAACAGTCAACAGCAGTCTTACCCAGCTATGAACACTGAGAGAGACAATAATGACTAGCCTGGCATGATATTCCCATTACTACAATAGCAGCACAAGTGTTTTGAGGATAACCAACTACTTTATTAGATTTAAGACCTATTCCTCAAGACAGAACTGATATCTGATACTGTGAACTGGGCCAAAAACCCAGGGCTGGGCAGGCTATAGGTCCTAGGGGAGAATTCAGCTTAATGGACATAGTATTAAACTGCTCCCTCAATATTTGTCTTTATACAAATAGATTAGCACATTGCTCAACCTTCATCAGAGAAGTATCTTTTTACAATACATGTTGATTAATACAGAGGCTAATAACAAAAGCACAGAGAATATGTAGAGTCCTCAATCTTTCGTGTGGCTCAGGGATTGTCACAGAAGATGAAGAAGGAAGATTGTAAGAGCCAGAGGTAGTAGAAGACTTCTGTGAAACGGTATCTTATGAACATGACTGGGGTGTTGCACACGTGAACTCACAGGGGCTGTGACCTTGTGTGTAGGACCTACACAAGAGCAAGCCAGCCCAAACTGCAGCATGGTTGAGGAGGAGCTTACAAAGCCACAGCTCCAGAGCTATTAGCAGTTGGTGGATGCCAGGGGAGAGGGAGTTAGCTTTCTTCAGTTCAGCCCCGATCAGGCTACCCATGTTCCAGGGCATGGCCCAACACCTGTTTGCATAGCGGCAGCACTAAACATACTCAGTGGGTTTCCGAAAGAATCTACAAAGTTGGGGGGGGGGGAAATGAGGTGAGGAGTATGGAGGGGGAATATGAGGGTGAGGGTGATGGTGATGGAGGGGGTGGGGTAGATTGGATCAAAACACTTTATAGTTATGTAAGAGATTCTCAAACAATATTTTTGAAAGTTTGAATAGTGCCAGCATATGTATGCCACCTATGAACTTAGCATCAGCACCCTCAACTCTCTAACACTTTTATATACTCTTGGCAGCAGGGGAGGATCTCTAGCAGTGTTGCTTTGGACAGTGTGATAGTGGAACTGCCTCCAGAGCCCTAGCTGTCCTGAGAAACAGGGGTGTGGGAGTGCAACCCAACTGTGTGACGCTTGAGGGACTGCCTTGTGGGTGTGTTATGAGTAGCAAACGTCGTCATACAGCCTGCCAGAGCACTGGGGCTGCTGTCTCCGTGGGACCTGTGATGCTCCACACTCCCAATGCATCTGAGTTAGAGAGTGATGGAAACAGTGTGAGCCACACACAGCTGTCAAAGCAGACCCACGTTGGCCCACACTGCCAACTCTGCTGGGGTAGGGACACGTCTGTGCTCACTATCAGCCCAAGATGTGTCAAATTCAGGAACACATCCCAAGAAGTGGCAGCTTCTGGGCCCTTCAATGACTGAAGAACAGTTCAGCCAAGAACCCCCAGTGCAAGCCATATTTATTCATCCAGCATCCATTGAGCAACTAGTGATCTGCCAGTGATAGGCTGAGCCCTAAAAACCCTATCAAGGCTCAGTCTGCACTCAAGCATCCCTGGTCAAGGGAAGAGACACATGTAAATAAGAGCAACATAAATCTGAATGTGTGTACCCAAGATAGAGGCAGGGTACCACGGAGCATGGGCACTCTTGATGCGGCCTCTAGAGTGATGTGGGGGATGGGGGAACATCAGGGAAGGATTCCTGGTAGAGATAAAACCTCCTGGTAGAGATAATCCCTGAACTGATTAGGAAGGGTCATTGACAGGAGCTTGGTGAACACAGGTCAGGAAGCAACAGAAGTCATCCTTCAGCTAAGGCGCTCCCCCAAAGGTCTAGAATACCTCCACCATGAATCAGATGGAATCAACAAGCCTTTTCCTTGTGGAAATGTCCATGTTGGATAGATTCTCGGTGGAAGAAGTTTGTAGGAGGGAAGTATTGTAGTTTCTTGGAGCCCACAACTAACATCTCATGTGGAAAGACCCCTGTGTTCCTCAGATTGAAGGAGTCCTTAAAACCACTCAATCCAACTGGCCACTTCATCAACCAGGCTACCCTACCGCAGAGAGGACAAGGAACTTGTCCAGGGCCACATAGCTATGGATGGAAGAAGGGAGGTCTTGACAGGGAGAGGGGGCACTTCCCACTCGCGGTCCTTTCTTCCACAGGAATATTCCCTGGCTGGCACCTGAACTATGTTGATGTGAAGGACAACTCCCGGGACGAGACTTTCCGCTTCCAGTGTGACTGCTGGCTGTCCAAGAGTGAGGGCGACAGGCAAACCGTCCGCGACTTTGCATGTGCCAACAATGAGATCCGTGACGAGCTGGAAGAGACCAGTACGTGGTGGGACTGTGTGGGCCCAGCCCACTGTGACATCAGGGCTAACATTTTTGGTAGGGAATGGAGTGGGAATGAGATGGCTCCACGTGACTGCAGGAGAAATTCCTCAGTAAACCCCCTAAGAGTCAATTCTTAGAACTGCTAAGACACTCGTGGCCCTGAATCACAGGTACTAGTGAAGGAAAACCCCCTGGGGACAGGCTCTCCCTGAGCCAAGGGCTGGGCAGGGCAGCTGTGACAGTCTCTCAGGCAATCTTTATGTCCTGGGTTGTTCCAGTTGATGTGGGCGATAATGACTGCCCACCGAGAGTTTCTAGAAACAGAAGTCAGAGAGAGCAAGGGTCCCTGCCAGCCATTCCCCACAATGGAGGATACAGAGAAAGAGTGGGTGATCAGCTCCTGGGGTGAATGGCCATCCAACTTTAGAAAACATTTCTTTAATACCCAGGCCAACATCTGGGCCCCGTGATTAGAGGAAAGCTCACCCAAAGGCAGAACCCAACTGAAGAAGGGGTTTTTCAATCAGTTATCAAGGCAGTTCCCCACACCTCAGCATCTTAGCACCACACAGTGTCTTCCTCACTTCTCAGTGTATAGTCCAGTGGGGGAGTAAGGTGAGCTGTCTTCCATAGTGTGAGGTAGGGGCCTAAGATCCTGCCATCTGTTTCTCTGCCATTTCTAAGATGTGGCTTCCACATTTCTCACCAAAGGGAAACTAGAAGACCCTCTCTGCAGTCTCAGCATGTTAACCTGTGTTTGTTTGGGAGAACTAGTCTCATGGCTCTATCAGATGCAAGGGGACCTGGGAACTGTGCCCTGACTGGGCGGCTCTTCCCATGACCACTATACACCGTGAGAGAGAAGTGAGCATCTTGACTTAAAAACTACCTCCCGTCTCTGCCGGGCCATCCAAACTGCCCCAGGGTTAACTTAACTGTCTTGAGAGGTGGCGAACATTGTGAGCTTGGGAGCATTCTCAAGTGGAAACAGTGCCCCTCTGCTGAGTTTTCTGTAGGGTAGAGATCTCACACCTGAACAGAGGATGTATTCTCCTCCTCTGCTGTCATTGTACTTTCTAAGGAGTTATTGGGTGCCCGTTTTGGTTTTGGATGCTGTGGGGGATACACCTTGCTTTGTGACCTGTCCAGATCCGGGGCGGCGTCACTCACGTTTGTCACCCTCTGCAGCACTGTGGACTTTGGAGCTCGGCAAAACTGATGCTCGGTAAACAGAAGCAGTGCTCTCTTTGCACAGAGCCTTGTGATGCACTGGGAGGCGGGGAGCTTAAGCTCCTCACACAGAGCTGAGATGAGCAATGGAGACTGTTCAGACCATTGGTGTTTAGCAGAGGAATACTCGGCAAAGCCCGTCTCTATTGCCAAGTCTCCCTCTCAGATTTCCAAACAGCCAAATCGCTGCCGTTACTTGCAGGATTTGGGCTCTTGGGGGAGGAGTGAGTTCTGTTGATGTGGGAAATAGGAGAGTATGAGCAGGGAGCCAGGAGAGGGCCTGGCTCCACCTGTCAATCCTGTGAGTGTGCTGCTCACGTGGGGACAGACAGGTAGCCATACCTTTGTTCCCAGGTGGCAGCTGGTCCCGGAGGTGTCATGCACTGAACTTGATCCCCACTCTCAGCCGCCTGTATTTAACGCTGAGACAAATCCACACTGAGCAGTTTGAAATGCCAATGCCTTCCTCTGACCTCAGAGGACCCTCCTAGAGTTTTTCTGCTGGTGACCCTGGGTCATTTGGGGCACTCAGTCTATGAGTATAAAGAGCCCCTGGGTCTTAACTAAAGCCTCATCTGTGTGAAGGCATTCTACACCACACTCTCTTTAATCCCTGGAAACCCCACATCCACCCTAAGGAGAAGGCAGGTTGCGATTTACACTTCCGTGCCAAAAAGTAAAGAAAACAGAAACTCAGAATGATGATGCAAGGCCCACTGCATGGCTCTGGGATGCCTTCTCCCTATTGGGCTTGGCTGGCACTGCTGATCTATCAAATGCCTGTATAAGCCAGCATCCCGTTTACAGGCTTCATCTCCAGTTCTCTGCAGCGCTCCCAGAGGCTGCTCCAGCCATCTGGCGAGCATTCACCTCTGTAGGTAACTCCAACACACACCCAGAGCCAAGAGCCACCAGTGCTCTTCATGTATAATCCTAATGTCCAAGCCTTCCGGCACTGCATTATAGTGTTTCCAGGGTCTGACTTCAACAGTGAGATTGCACGCTCATGTGTACAAATGTTCACAAGCACACACCTGGGAGGCCACATCTCTCTCCCGCTGGAACACCTTCGGGCTGAAGAGTGCCTTTCTCTTCCCAGCCTTCTGTTCTCCTATCTGCTAATCTTAACACGCTCTAGGTTTGCTCTGTCAGTTTATTCGCGCTGTTCCTAGCTCCAGTACATTCCTCTGCTGGCCAGTCCCTGGGGATGGAACAGTCACTGCTCCGCCAGGCGGTAGAATCCACCCTCACGTGTGTCCCTGAAGCCTCCCTCCCCCAATGGTCCTAACGGAAGCTTCTGGGAGTGGTTAGGACCCTGAGTGGCACGAGTCTCAAAACTGTATCTTTGCTGAATTCAGGAAATGTATTTGCTCCCAGAACTTGGAAACCTGAGATGGCTCTGGCTCCAACATCGCTGTCCCCAGAGGTGCCACTGGTATCAGTGTGACTCCTTTCTTCTCAGCTTGATTTCCCCCAATATGGTAACTTAGTGCAAGTTTCCATGGACCCCAGGAAGGTGGGTGCTGGCAGCACCAGCCTGGATTCTTACTGCTCAATAGCCTCAGAGAAAGAGGAAAGAGCAGGTCCTTGGGGAGAAACTCTCAGTCCATCCCAGCATGTGGCAGGGAGTTTGGGGGTATGTAAGTGTCCTGACAACGGGAGGCAGTAAAGTTTAGGATGCCAACCAGAAGCACATTGTCTCCTCCCCCCCCCATCATTTTTCCATGGCTGTCCTGTGTTTCTGTCCAGCCCCCTTTTCTAGCATCCTCAGGCACTGCATGCACATTGTACATAGACATACATGCAGATAAAATGCCGTGAACACAAAACAAAAATAAATGAAATTTAAAAATATATTCACTAGGGGCCCGCCGTGTGCCAGGCACTGTTCTTGGCAGTTGGAAATTTGTTAATGGCCATACCCACCCTTGTGGAGTCTGCACTCACTCAGGAAGGGGAGGTGCAATAAGCAATGACGAATACATGAAATGATGAGAACAAGATGAATTAGCAGTGAGGCAAGGCAGACCAGAAGTGTTGGGGACCAGGCTACCCCTTTAATTAGGGCACTAGCATAGGCCTCCCTAAGAAGGCGATATGGAAATAAATGAAAGGCGGTGAGGAGCGAGTGGACACGTTCAGGTGGAGAGAGGGAGCATGGCAGAGCTCTGAGCAGGAGCTGGGAGGTCGGGTGCTGGAGATAGGAAGAGAGCGCGTCCTAAGGCACGAAAGCAGCTTCTCTCGGAATCCAGAGGCACCCTGGTCCTTGGCTACAGTGCTATTGCGTTCTGTCTTACGGATGGTCAGTGCTGAGCTGGATGCCTGGGGCTAGAAAGTGGATTCTAGCCACCTGTCTGGTACTCCTGACACTTGGCAGCCTCTATAGGAAGGATGGTGGAGAGGTGCTAGTGCGGCCAGGCAGAGGAGAACAAGGCTGGGGCTGCTGTGAGGCTGAGCGAAATGGGGCGGGGCCCTAAGCCTGCTGGGTCTTTGCATCTTGCTCCCTGTAGCCAGGCCTGCCTCATCATCTGGCGATGTGGTTTCTATGTTGCATTTTAGTTCAGTAGCTCATCGGCTGAGAGAACCAGACCCCAACGTCTCCTGAGAACTCATCCCAACTTCCTGCTTCCTTCACTATGGCAGCCGCATTCCCATTTCTACCAGCAAAGAGGCTGCCCACTGCCATCCCAGGGCCACCAGTCCTGGTTACAGTGCCCGGGTCTCAGCAAGGCTAACCTGCCTTTGACAACCAGACTGTGGCCTAAGGCCAGAGAAAAGTCCCCGAGGGAGAGGAGCTGGCTGATGGCAGGCGGCTGCTTCCTACTGCTGACCCTTTCCCACCTCCTCCCTGCAGCCTACGAGATTGTCATAGAAACTGGCAACGGAGGCGAAACCAGAGAGAATGTCTGGCTCATCTTGGAGGGCAGGAAGAACAGATCCAAGGAGTTCCTTGTGGAAAATTCTTCCAGACAGCGGGCCTTTCGGAAGTAAGAAGGGTGCTTAATGGGATGGGGGTGGGGAGGGTAATCCAGAGACCCCAGTAATCTCTCCCACTGAATGCTCTACAAATGGGTCTAACCAGAAAGAATGTGCCAGACCTGTAATTCCCTTATAAGTATTATCCCACATCCCAACCCAGAGCTCTCCCCCTGCTTCTCCTGGGAGGCCTCAGCAGCTGCGTTCACTTCATCTCTGTTCCCGACAGAACTTCAGTCTCCACTTTCCTCTGCTCAGCTTCCTTTATCTCCGTCCATTCAAGCCTCCCTATGAAACAGGGTGGCTTACAAACAACTGACGTCTCTTCCCCATGTTCTTGAGGCTGCAGATTTGGTATCCGGTAACACTCGCCTCCTGGTTCACAGATGGGGGTCCTCTCACTGTGTCCTCATGCAGCAGGAGGGGTGCAGGAGCTCCCTTGTTTTGTAAGACTCCATTCACAAAATCTCCACCCTCACCACTCACTCACCTTCCAAAGGCCCAGCTCCAAACTCCATCACACAGGATTAGGTTTTGTCGGGCAGACTTGGCAGGGTAGCCCATTCCGTTTACCTCAACCTTTTATTCAAATCCCCCTTCCATGAGGACAGAGTCTGTGCTCCTCAGGCCAGTGCCAACGGACTGCCCGCACCCTGCCTTCTCGTTACCATGTTCTCACGGGTTCAAATTCCTTACAAGTAGATTCCCTAATACCCAACTACTCTCATAGTAAGGTTTTTCAAAATCAGGAGGGTTCTTCCTCCTTTCTCTGCAGTTCCGTACCTAGCTCTTCACCCTTCTTCAAGGTCCAAGCTGCTTAGTGATGGCCATTTACATGCTGGAACCAGGCAGCTGGCAGGGCTTTTTCACTGTCACTGTCTTGATTTAAAACTAGCCCGAATCCCTCAAGGAGTGCTGGGCTGGCTATGGTATTGCACGTTCCTTCCATACCATCCTGGAATACAATACACTTTTCGATAAATGCTTGCCTCCATCACCAGGCGCGGGCGGCCCATTGATCACATCTTGGTTTTCTACAGGGGGACCACAGACACATTCGAGTTTGACAGCATCTTCTTGGGGGACATTGCTTCCCTCTGCGTGGGCCACCTGGCCAGGGAGGACCGCTTCATCCCCAAGAGAGAGCTGGTCTGGCATGTCAAGACAATCACCATCACTGAGATGGAGTATGGAAATGTGTATGTACAGAGCTGAGCCTGGGGTGCAGTGGGAACTTCACTCATGGGCGAGAGGGCAATGTGTGGGAAGGTGTGTTCTTCAATACCAAGGTTACCCTATTCATGACTATAAACCTGCAAGACAGGACGGGAAGAAGCAGCCGTTATGTGCTAGAGTGGTGGTTCTCAACCTTCCCAATGCTGTGACCTTTTAATATAGTTCCTCGTGTTGTGGTGACCCCCAACCATAAAAGTATTTTTGTTGCTACTGCATAACTGTAATTATGCTACTGTTATGAGTTGTAATGTAAATACCTGTGTTTTCTGATGGTCTTAGGCGACCCCTGTGAAATTGCTGTTCAACCCCCAAAAGGGTCAAGACCCACAGGTTGAGAACCACTGTGCTAGAGTTACCTGAACTATGTGTGTATCTACCACCAGAGACAGGAGACTAGGTGATCTTGGGTGTCTCCTGCCTTTTAATCCAGGGAGATTTCCTTACAAGAACTCCAGAAGGCACACAGCAGCAGATACTGGAGCCTTTTCTTCCTTCCTTCCTTCCTTCCTTCCTTCCTTCCTTCCTTCCTTCCTTCCTTCCTTCCTTCCTTCCTTCTACAAAGACAGAAATGATGTTCGCAAGCCTGTGGCTTAGGAGATCCCGATGAGGATGACTCTTATGGGCAAGAACAGGCCAGCCAGGCAATTCAGTAACACACTTGCTTTCCAGGTGCCTGTGCCTTTGCGTCTCTGCCATCAGGGTCTTCTGGAGACTTAGCCATTTCTGGGAGAGTAAGAGCCTTAGTTACCTAGGCAACACAGGCACAATCGACAATTGGTACAGTTAAAACCACCTGGTACTGTTACAGCAAGCCAAGAAAGGCCCTAAGGCAGTGGTCCTCAAGCTGTGGGTCTTGACCCCTTGGGGGATTGAATTGTCTTTTCACAGGAGTCACCTAGGACCCTTGGAAAACACAGATATTTGCATTACTATTCATGACAGTAGCAAAATTACAATTATGGAATAGCAACAAAAATAATTTTATGGTTGGGGATCATCACAACATGAGGAACTGTATTAAAGGGTCACCGCATTAAGAAGGCTGAGAACCACCGGTCTAAGGCACTGGAAGGCCTGGGAGAGGCCGAGAAGAAGCCAGGGAAGTCTAGTGGGGAGAGCCACGGCCAAGGCTTACCTGGTGGGATAAGATAGCGGTGTCTGTGGGGCACAAGGCTAGAGTGCCACTGACTGCTTGTAGGCCATATCACCCGGGGCCACTGCTGGCCTTTCTCCCACCATGCTGCTTCCTGGAACTGTCCCTGATCACTCCACACAGCCCCTCCTTTCCCTAGGAAGGAGGTCACTGCCCACACAAAAGCAACAGCCAGGTGTCTCCATTTCCTGTGACTCAAGCAAGTAGTGTCTTCAATAATAGGATCTTACCATCTTGTTTCAGTGAATGAAGATGAGCAATGGCAATAACTCGTATTGTTTGGGGGTGTAAGGGACCCCACTGACCAACACCTTGCATTAACCCTCTGTATTGGGTAACATTATTTAATCTCTCTCTCTCTCTCTCTCTCTCTCTCTCTCTCTCTCTCTCTCTCTCTCTCTGTATGTATGTGTGATATATGTATGTATATGTGCAGTGTGCTTTTTATTCTGGGGATAGAACCTAGAGCCATGTACATGCTATATAAGCATTCTTTCTCTGAGCTGCATCCCCAGCTCTTGGCATTCTTGCTCATTAACACCCTCAGAGTTCCAGTGGAAGGACACACAGAGAGGCTTTTATCTATTTTTTAAAAAAATCAAAATCATATACTGTTTTATCTGAATAGTTTATCCAACAGAGAATCACTATAAAATTCAAATAAGACCAAAGAGTGGGTAAAAGACAGCACCATTTCCCTAGGTCCTACCCATCAGAGGCAGCCATCGGGAGCATGTTGAGGGCCTCATTGTCCCTGGTACTTTTCTGATCCCTGTGGACACCATGTCCACAGAAGGCTGACGGTGCTATACCTGAGTTTTAAGCCAGTTCACTTCTTCTTTGCTCACTGTTTTCACGCTTGGTCTCACAGGCTCTTCCTCACATCCAGCCAGAGCCTTGACCCCACTGGCTTTGAGTCCCACATCTTGGGCGGTGTTTCCAGTTCTATTAGGAAACGTGTCCTTGTATCTGTACCGGGGAATTTTTTTTAGCCATTTAAAATAATGATCTAAATGTGTACCAGATGACTTGGAGCAACTCCCAGGAAGTATTATCAAGTGAGGAAACCAAGATGCAGGAAAACACGTTTTGTACGACGCCGTGCAGAAAAGAGAACACTGACGTCCCCATATGTCTGTGTGTACGTGGGTCTGTCAGCAGGGGTGGAAGGGAGGAAGTTTGGCAGGCTGCACCCTCGGCTGTTATGTGGGTTATCTAAGGTAAGGGTGGGGTGCTGCAGTAGGAAACAGAGAGAAAGGAGATATAGCCAAACAGAAAGGAAAAGAGAGACCCCACTTGGAAACCCATGTATGTGACTATAAAATTTGTGCATTTACATTCAATTATGAATATTACTGAATCTATGCTTTAAAACCCCACATTTTAAAAGAATTTTAAACTGAACAATGAATGTGCATCTCCTTTGAAGATATTCTGGTATGTAAAAAAAAAAAAATCCAAATACATCACGTGATAAGTCTGTGGAGGAGAGATCTCAAAACAGAACAAAAATTTTCTGTGAGGCACCTTCATTTTTTTTCCTTCAAAATTTCTTCCTTCCTTTCTTTCCAATTAAAATTTTTTATTGGCATCGAGGGCCTGAGAGGCGGCTCAGCAGGTAAAAGTACCTTGTCGCCGAGCCAGCTAACCTTGGCTTTATCCCTGAGCCACACCTGGGAGAGAGAGAGAGAGAGAGCTCACTCCCATACCCTGTCCTCTGACCTCCACAGGGACGGCACGGCAGGGGTTTGCCCTCACTCAAGCACACAGATACAAAACAAAGGAACAGATGTAAAATTGTGTTTGGCTCTTTATTTGCATCTATTCACAGCATATGGTATTGGGTTTCGTGAGGTCAGTTTCTTTCAAGTAGACCATGGGTTTTCACCGTATCCACCCTCTTCCCCTTCTCCCCCAGTCTTCCCTCCACATCATATACACACAACACTGTTCATGTATCTATTTTATAAAGAACAACGAGGATCTCTAAAGGAGGGCACGTGTGAATCTTAGTAGTTTGGAGTTTGGCTTATTTTCTTAATATGATGATTTCTGGTTGTGTCTATTTCCCAGGAAATGACTCTTCTTCATGGCTCACTCCATTGTGTGTACCCGCCATATACTCTCACCCAATCACGTTGACAGGCACCGAGGCCGATTTCATAACATGCTTCCTGTGCAGGGAACAGTGGGGAACACTGACTTGGAATCCTTGAAGTTTATACCCAGGAGGAGCAATGCTGGGTCACATGATAATTCCATTTTTAGTTTCGTGAGAAATCCTATCCTGACTTTCACAGTGTCCAGACAGTTTGCATCCCACCAGCAGTATACAAAGCTCCCCTTCCCCACAGCCTCACCAGCCTTTTGTAGCTATTTGTTGTCTTTGTTACAGCATTTGGACCAGATATGGAGTCTCAATATAGCTTTGATGCCATTTCTCTGATGGCTAAGAATGCTGAACATTTCCTTTATTTCTGGGCCATTTTTACCGTATCTTTTAATAAATGCTTATTTTATTACTCTGTGTATTGACTTGGTTGTCACTTCTTTGGAATTTAGTGAGGCTTTTTTTCGAAGTTCTTTATATATTCTGGATATTAATCCTCTGGTAGATGTATAAGTAACAAAGATTTTCTCCCCTCCTGTGGGATGTCACTTCCCTTTGCCAATCTTTTCCTTTGCAATGCTTTTAGATTTATTTTATTTTATTTTATTTTATTTTATTTTATTTTATTTTATTTTATACTCGTGGGTGTTTTTGGCTACATGTATGTATGTGCACACATGTGTGCCTGGTGCCCACAGAGGTCAGAAGAAAGAGTCGATCACCTGGAACTGGAGCAACAGATGGTTGTAAGCTACCACGTGGGTGCTGGAATTGAACTGTGGGAATTAAAGACTCTAAACCTCTGAGTCAATTCTCCAGCCCCGGTTAAACTTCTAATTTCATGTGATCTCACTTGCCAGTTCTTGGTGTTTGCCCCTGAGCTACTAAAGACTCTTTGAGAGAGTCCCTGCCTGTGTTCATATCCTGAAAGTCTTCCCCTCCTGTCCTCTAGCAGTGTCAGAGTTTCAGGTCTCATGATAAAGTTTTCATCCATCTGGAGATGATGGTGTGAGGGTTAGACGTGGAACTCTAACGCCATTCTTCTGCATTGAATATCCAATTTCCCTAGCACAGTTTTCTAAAGAGGCTGTCTGTTCTCCGATGTCTGTTGTTTGATATCTTGGTAAAATAAATAAATAAAATTGGGTGTCTACAGCTGTGGATTTAAATCGGGGTTCTTAAATCTTTCCCACTATGTTTTTTTTTTTCCTGTGGGTACCAAACGACTTTTGTTACTGTGGCTCTGAACTGTAGCTTGAAAGTGGTTGTGAGTATTCTTCCGGCATTGTCCATTTTGCTCAGGGTGATTTTGTGTGATCCAGAGGCCTCTGTGTGCTTCTGGATTAGTTTTAGGATTCCTGCCCCCCTATCTTTGTAAAGAATGCCATGGAAGTTTGATGGGGATTGCAACGCATCTAAATCCATTTTCACTAACGTGATCCTGCTGATCCGTTCTTCCCTTGCCTTCACTTCCTTTGCTCTTTTTAGTTTTCCTAGCAGAAGTTTTCAGCTGGTTTTCTTTCATTGTGCTGCTTTGCTGACAGTGTTGATCAATTCTGAGTGTTCTGCCAGGGCCTCGGTGCCCTTAATGTACAATACTGTATCATCTACAGATATGAATAGTTTGGCTTCTTTCTTTCATGTATGTCTGTGTCCTTTTGTTTTCTTCCTCTTGTCTTGGTGCTCTAAGACTTCAAAGA